TTACCGTTCTTCTTCTTTACTAATACAATAGCTGAAGCATAGGGTGAGTAGCTTGGTTGAATTGCTTGTTCTTTTAACAGTTCGTCTATAATTGTTTGTACTTCGTTACGTTCTGCATAAGATAAGCGGCGGGGGGCATAATGAAAGGGAACGTCAGTTGTTAAATGACTCTTCATTTCGTACTCGAGGGGTTCAGGTTTAATATTAGATTTGAAGTAAGTGTCATCAATAACCTTTTTTAATCTATTGCGTTGTCCATTAGTGAGTATACAATCTATATCTATATCGTCCTGGTTATAAGAAACGTCAATACAAAAAATGTCAGGTACACAAGCGGCAGTTAAACCATCGGGATCGACATTACTATTTTTATCTACATTAGTGCAAAACTCGGCAGTTAAATTATTATTAAATTATCAGGATTTACATTAATATTTGAATCTACATTGGTGCGAAAACCGGCAATTAAGTCTTCGGGATTAACATCAATATTTTTATCTACGTTGGTGCAAAACTCTGCAGTTAAATCAGAAGGATTTACATTAACTTTTTGTTTCGGTTGTAATTTTACAATGGCCGAGAATGTTTCNATATTTTTATCTACATTAGTGCAAAACTCTGCAGTTAAATCAGAAGGATTTACATTAACTTTTTGTTTCGGTTGTAATTTTACAATGGCCGAGAATGTTTCGGAATCAGTTACAATTTTTTGTTCGTCAATCATATATGTCTTCATATTTCTTCCTCTGTCTAATAATTTGGATTTTGTATATCCTTTCTTAGCGTACTTAAGTCTAATATGAAATTTGTGCAGAAAGTCACGTCCCATAATAACAGGTACTACCATATCTTCATCTGATATAACATTTAATTCAATTTTATTAATTCTGTTATTAAATTTTACAAGGCATTTAATTTTTGAAATAATATTTATTTGATTGCCCCCAATTCCTTTGTATTTGGGCGTGTTCGTATTTTGAAAATTCTTGTACTCGAACAGTTGTTTTAAGACCCGTGACCATCCAATAAAACTAACCGGACTACCGGTATCAAATAAAGAAAAAACTTCTTCGGAAAAAATCTTTGACTCTAGCTTGAATATAATACTCACAAAATTATATGTATTTACATCGTAAGACTCATCGTCTCCGCCTTCCATTACTGATGCAACCTGCGTTTTTGGTTTGAGGATTTTTGCTGGATTCGGGCATGAGCGATGGTCATGGCCCATTCGCCAACAACGAAAGCAGGACCCGTCTGGTCTTAATGGGTAAGGGCAGTTGGGCTTGATATGCCCATCTCTCGAGCAGTTGTAACATTTTTGTTTGGCGTCCACGACCGTCTTTGTAGCTTGCCGGCGTCCTGTTGTGGCCACCACGTCGCTCACCAAATATTTCCTCTCATACTTTTGAATTAATGTTTTTAGTTCGGCAAGGGTCCTGGTAGGTAGCAGCAAGTGTGCATTGGGCACAATGTTCCTTATTCCATCGATTACAAACTCGATTACCTCTTGTTCTTCCACCTTTGCCCGCTTTGCTATGGCCTGCATAGCTAGTACATAGCTTTGCAATGATTCTTTTTTCTTGTCCCAGCGCCGTTGTGCTAACATTTTATAAACTTCATTTCTGGTAACTGGTACACTAAACTCCATATCTAGAGCTTTTTTAAGTGCTCCATAATTTAGAGCTGTTGTAGATGATA